AAAAAAAAAAACTCTGAGATACACAAAAATCAAGACAGCAAAATCTGTGTAGATGGAAACAAGTGAAGCTCTCCCAACATCACTGCTAAGCTGAGCAAGGTGAAACGCGCTTGGGTCAGAAAGGATGCTGTCCACGGGGTTTCTTGGAAGTGAGATATTATGAACCATAACACAGTCTGTCTCAAAACTTTCATAGTGACCCACGTCTGCTCACATGGGGGAAGCTGTCATGTATCATCCTTACAGAAGTCATGTTCTCTTTAACCCCAGAAGATAAAGGATCTTGATATTAACAGCAAAGATATCAAAACTTCTAAGGTTCTACACTTGAGTAGAAGAATGTCCAATAAAGAAAATACAATCAAAGGGAAGCTGGAGTCTACAATGCCCTTTACTGTACCTATGGGCACCCTGAAACTTTTCCTATCATATAACTTTTCATCAACACTGTTTGATAAGATTGCGTTCTTACCCTTCCACGTTGAAGGACTTTGGGGCGACTGAGCCCTCTGTTGATAAAAATGGGTTGCTGGGGCTTGGCATGGGGCCCAGATATCTGCATCTCTGGGTAAATATTATCCAAATACCATTTAAATGATTTACAACCCAATTTCTTCCTCAATTCGACACGCTCACTGATATTTCCATAGCTTTTGGTCTTGAGATCAGGTCTTAAGGAAAAATACTGCTCCTGAATTAAAAAAAGAGAAGACAAGAGATTTCTGTTGTTAAAAATGAATATTATGTGGGTGGGCGTAAGTGGTTCATACCTATGATCCCAGCACTTTGTGGGGGAAGGCAGAAGGATCACTTGAGTTCAGGGGCTCAAAACCAGACTCAGCAATATAGTGAGACCCGTCTCTACAAAAAATTTGAAAAATTAGCTGAGCATGGTCGCTTATCTGTAGTCCAAGCCACTCAGGAGGCTGAGGCAGGAGGATCACCTGAGCCCAGGTGCTACAGGTTGCAATGAACTATGATGATGGCACTGCACTCTCACATGCGTGACACAGTGAAACCCTGTCTCCAAAAAATAAACACAAAAAAAGACAATTATTTATTTTTCATGCTAGTGTTTTCTTAATGTTGCCAGTAAAGGTCAATGGAAATTTCTATTCAAGTCCATTACTGACAACAATAAAACATACCCTACAAGGCACAGCCCAATTTTAAAAATGGCAAAATGTATAAAACATTATCTGCAAACCAATGAAACAGGCGTGTCAGAGTGGCCATAAAGTTCGTGTGCAATTTAAAATAGTGTCTATGATCTATGAGATCAACTCTCAAATTCTTGGTCTCAGGACTCTTTATTCTTCAATTATGGAAGACTCCAAGGAGGTTGTTTGTGTAGGCTGTATCTACTTATGTTTACCACATTAGAAATTAAAACTGAGAGGTGTAAAAATATTAATTCCTTAAGATTAAAAGATTAACTCCTTAATAATACACTCATTTTCCAAAACAATATTGAGTAAGAACGGTAGCACTGGTTTATATTTTGCAAAAACATTTTACCCACTGGCTTAAAAGAAAACAGCTGAATTCTTGCATCTGCATGTAGCCCACTGTCACATGTTGTTTTAGGTGAATATGCATATTT